CGGCATTAATAATTATTATTAACTATTTGCAAGCGTTGCCGGGGATAAAACGGCCAGGAATAATAGCTAGCATACATGGCATACTATACACCATACACTTATTCTATATGCAAAAATGTGTGCTAACATGCGTATATTAAAATTCTCGAGCATGCAAATTTGTCCTGGCACTGACCAGATAATAAAAGTGTGTTTTTAAAACAATAACATGCCACGGGGGGTCATAAATATGATATACTTTAAGAGGGGACTTAATAATCTTTCGAAATTGGAATATTTTCTATATGCATCTTCTATTTACATATATAAATATATATAAATATGAAAATATAATTGAGGAACTTTGGTTGTATATCTCTGGTATTTCGATCGTTTAAATATTTATTATCCTGTAATTATCCTGCACACCTAACCCACAACTAGAGTTTTTCTGCTCCTTCTTGTCTTTCGCTGCAATTTTGGATTTGCAGGTGCATTTTGTCAAACTAACACATTGGTTTCCGGTGCATAGGTTTAGGGTCACGGACCGGGGTCCTGGGTATCCCTAATGGTCGCCTCGGGCACGCACTCGCACACACAGGCGAAATTGTTTCCTGTTATTATGTAAATTTTCCTCGTGGAGGCATCCTGGCAAATAGTTTTCCTTTTCGAGGAAGGGCTTGCATCCACGGGATTGACCTTACCAGAGCAATTAAGCCGCTTAACCCATGGCAGCCAGGCAGTCGGGGCAGCCATATTTCGCAGATCCAACCCTCTCGACGGGACATGGCCATAAAAATTGTTAAGCTTCGTGCCTTCATCCCATCCGCTTGACAACGAAAGCGGAGCGAAAATGAAAAATAAAATGGCCGAAAACATTTGGCCGTTACAGCTGCAGTTTGTCAGTCGTGGCTAAAGCTTCAATTTGTCCCAACCTCGCTCATCCTCTTGGCCCTTTCCCATTTCCCTGTTTTTTTTCTCGTTTCTTGTTGCTTTTAGCCGAATCGAGATTTTCATGCATTTTATGTAACAATCCGGGGCCAACTCTCACCTCTCACCCGCAACTTTGCACAGGTCTCTGCATCAATAATAGTTTGTTTGGGGCTGGGTTTGGTTTGGCGTTTGGCTATGATTTTTAGCCAACGAGGAAGCGACTCAAATTCTGAATTCCCAACACTCTGGCAGCTCTCGGCTTATTCATATTTTTTGCTCGGCATTCCCCTTCTCGTCCATTGATTTGCCAGTTAGTTTTAAGTATGCCAAGCGAAAGGCGAAACCAAGTCAAGCATCGTCGAGTCCCCGGGTTTTCGCATGGGCGAAAGGGGGAATCCCCATCCGGCTGTCTCGAGTGGCAGAGTGGTTTTGCGGATCGGATGGGATCGAATCCGGGGAATCCACGACACGGAATGCACTATAATTGGTTTGGTAATATATACGGGAATTGATTTCCCCCCAGCCGAAGAGGCTGCCTCGTTGGCTTGCCTTAATTAAAGACCCAGAAAGGGTGGTCCTGGGTGAGCATCTCTTGAGGTGACAATTTGTCTCTCTGCCTTTGAGGAAAATATAAAATTAGTAGAGGAAATTGATAAATGCTTGAAATGATTTATGGAATGGAAAGTTCTAAGGATGCTTAATTGTCATACAAAATTGAATATCTTTGGCAATTAAAACGTATGATTTCATTACACTTGCAATTCGAATATAACTATTGATTGTCTTTGGTATGTAAATATTTAAAATGCAAGCTCTTCCCAGGATACATAGAAAGTAAAAGCGGAAAAATGCTCATGACTAGTGAGTTCAGGAGACACATGTAAGTGCTCAGGACAATTACTCCAACACTTGTCCACTAATTGAACTCAGTGGAGTGAAATCAATATAGTCTGGAAAGGCCAAACCTTTAGGTTTTTAGCTGACCTTCCGGCCCCTTGCAATTTAAATCACATTTACCACTAACACAAATTACAGCCTATTTGTGCACGATAACCCACAATTTTCCCAGACCACAAAAGGTGCCTGAATAAATGATAATTTCCCCAAACAAAAGCTTGGCATTAAGACATTAACACACACAAGTTTTTGAAACAAAACAAAATGGAGCTTTTATATATTGTCACAATTTTGCAAGCACTCGGAGTCCATTTCGGCATGTGGTTATTAAAAGTAAATCAAGTGCACGACCGATTTACGTAGCCCCAGGACTAATTAGCCACTTGTGTGCTGAACCAAAAGCCGGTCTCAACAAAAAGCCAAGTTACCATTGGGGGTTAGAAAAACATTTTGCCGTTTTTTTTTCTCCGTTTGTTGTGCGTGTTGGAGATTTTTATCAAAAACCCCGTAAATTGTGGGAGTGAGGTGTAAGTGTGTGTGTCCTGGGTGAAGGTCCCGGGAGTCTAATACAATGTCGTCGTCTACATCGAGTGCACTTGGGCCCGACTCGATAATGGCAGGTTAATAAACGTTTTTGTGCGACATTGAACGCATGGCGAGACGCTTTTGTGAGTAGACTTTCAGGTTGGGGGAGTCCCCTGGTCCCCACATGTCCCTCAGTCCTTTAAGAGTCCTTTTTGCATGGCTAATGTCCGACCCGAACCGCCCACCAAAGCCTCATACCCCAAGGATGACCTGAAGGACGTGGGATTTCTGAACTTGGAATGCACGGACTGTATGCATATCGCAGTGAATCACGGTTCAATGAAGCCAATTCAATGAAAACACAACATCGATGTCCTGAAGGAACTGAATGGGAGCAGAGAAAATCCCTGATTTGTATGGTCTGCTTGGGTAAAAAAGTTAAAAAGTCACCAAGATGCTAACATGCAAATAATTGGCAGCATAACCCTTTTTTTTATTCCTCTGGGAGAAATCAGTAAAAAACTTTTAAGTCCGTTTAAAGTCGATTATATATTGGTAAAATATCTACCAATATCAATATTAAAATTTATGTCAAAACATGCTAGTGCTGTTTTATTATAAGCTTATATAAATAATGGCATCCTATTAGCATTAATATTCATAGACCATTGTTTATTGAGTTTGTGCAAATGCAAATATATATAAAAATTTAAGAAAAAAACAATAGTAATTGGATTTATTACCATTCAAATGCAGTCTGAAGTTTACTAAAGAGTCCCGCATTTTATTAGAGAATTAAGAATTTTAACACATTTTATAAATTCAATAATTGACCTAACATTTTCTACCTTTTTTGTTTTACGTAAAGCCCTTTTGAATATTTTTAAACATAAAAAATCAATCAAAATCGAGAGAGAAAATAGAGAGAATCAAAAATAACAATTTCAATGTCTTATTTCTCCAGACAAAGCCAATGTAATACTCAATTTTATACACTTTAAAGCTAGTGTTGTTTTGACTTTATCCCATACGGAATAGGGAAAACTAAGCCCGACAATCACCTGTCACAGAATCCACAGATGCTGTGTCGGCCTACACAAAAAATAGAGAAATATCTACATGTACAAAAAAGTGCCACTAAATAAAGCCCGAAAAGGTATGCTACACAAAACAAATGCCAGGCACGTTGGAAACATTTATCAAGACCCCGCACATCCGCCTACAGAAACCGTGCGCTAACAAGACGACGGCAGGACGAGAGCCGTGGAAAAAGGATAACCAGACCTAAAATCCAGGCAACTCTTTGGCCGAGAAAGGCACCACACCCGCCGAGTGACAAAGAGTCGAAAATTTCAGTCACGCGAAGGGATTAAATGTCGTTTGATGTATTCTATGTCATTTAAGTTTCTGTTGATAGAGTGAGCGATAGATATATAGGAGAAAAATCAACTGTCAGGCGTCAGTTCACTCTGAAGAAAGCCTACGACTTGGGGGCAAATGCATTTGTGTGATACATCCTTCGCCCCTTATTGACATGTGTCCTGGCAAAACCGCTTCGCTCCACTCCGCTCCGAAGCCGATTGAGTGCCGACTGAGCCATGGGATGCAGATAAAATTTAAATCTGCGCCTCACGTCCAGGGGTTAAAGCCAGGTGAATGGTCGCCGTTCCAGGATGAGGAGGAAGTCGGTGCTGGGAAGCCGCAGCGCCTTGTGTGATTTATTGAATAAATCAGTTTGGAGTCTCCTCCTAGCAGATGCTGAAATATTTATGTGAACGCTCGTACGTACGCGGTGGTTTTCAAATTTATGTGCGCCGGTAAATAAAATGAGACCTCCTCCAATGGCTGCGAAAGCCGCAAAGATGGGGCAATAAAAATTTGAAGTGTGTGTAAGGCATTTCCAGATATAATCTTATATGTATATATACTACAAACATATATGGTTAGATGTTGACAGAATGAGTTATCGGTGGTTGGCAGTATTCTGATTCAGATGTGGTCGCAGTCAGTACAATTCGAGAATTATGAGGTCATAAATTCCATTTGAGTTTCTGTCTTGAATTGAATGTTATAATTGTAATTATCATATAATCATTATATTTTTGTTTATTTAAAGAATTTCACATTAAAAATATGCAACATACTACACTTTAAATTGGTTTTGAGTATATTGAAACCTTTTTAATTTGTAAAAGTCATACATTTTTAATCAACCTGAATTTCTATGACATCCAATTCAATTAAGGTTAATTAACATTTGGGCATTTGTAATTATAGTTGATAGTAATTCCATTAAATAATGTTCGTCATAAAAAATCGTTTGATTTCACTTTATCATAATTATATTGCGATGTTTTTTAACCGAATGAAATTTTGTGTTTTCTTTTCTACGGTATACAAATATAAGATGATAAATGTTTAAGAAAACTTACACTTAAAAGTAAGCATATATACTTTGACAATGCACTTATTTTTTATTGAGAAATTAAAGTTATTTATTGGAATTTGTTGACCTTTTGCGTTCAAACGCAAAAGGAACATTTGTTATTATTTATTTTTCACATTCACATAAAAGTCAAATTTTCTTTTGTATTTCTATTTCTTCAATATTCCTGCTGACATGTGGATTTATTTTATTAAAACCTTTCTCAATCAATTTCACTTACCAATTAAGACAGCAAGAAGCGTCGTTTTGAAAGCTAAATGATAAACAATTTGTGACACCCGCATTTTGAAAGGTGTTAATTTCTGTCTGAAAATATGAAAAGAATATATGTTATTGTAGTGAATTTATTTAGGAGAAATTTAACAAGAATATTTATAAGTATTTAATGCTGAAAAAATCTTAAAACAAAAAAAAAAAAAAATTTACTGCTTATCCTAAGCTCAATAAAAAGCAATAAAGTTTTTTGTTAGTATTTAAAATTATCCAAAATTCATTTCAATTACGTTATGAAACATTAAGTCGCATTACATAACTTGAGTGATTCTATTAGCCAAAAGACTTCGTCTCTCTCTTGACTTAAGCCTCTGAAAGATAGGTAAAATTTAAAGAAACACCCACTAAAAAAAGACCCCGATCGAGTGTAATAACATCTCGAAATGTTGGCAGACAGCAACATCGGTCCTTAATGCGTTAAACTTTGGCTGCACCACGTAACTCCTGTTGGCCAATGCAACCGACTGGGCCGCTTTCCTCGAGGCAGGTGTTGCAAAGTGAGTTTCTTATAGTCACTACTTGGTTGGTTGGGCCAAAGTATTGAAAGCAATTTTGTAATCAGCCGGAAAGGAACAAGGGGAAACTGTATAAAGTAATAACTATAAAGAAAACTGCAGCGATTTACCCCCCCCCCCACACACACACTCCTACCCACAGTTTGGGGGTAAAAAGTTTTCCATTAAGGATGTGTTCCTTCCGTGCCTGGCCGAAAAACACATTGTTGCCTAACTGCACATCAAATGCTCCCTCTTACCATCCCCCCAAGTTGCGTCGGTGAGAACAACATTTTTCCATAAATTCTTCGGCTTTTCGGGGCACTCGGAAAAGTTGAAAATCGGATTATAATAATCCCCTGGTCAGCTTGAGTGGACTCGCCGAGAATGCGCAAGGATCCGAGGGTCTTTTGAGGAGGAACTTTAACAAGTTGTAATCTTTTATGGCAGCAAATTGCATTACAGCATCGAAAGAGTCCAGAAAACATCTCGTATGCGGAATATATTCCCATCGCCGATGCTCACATGGCCAAAAAGCACCGATGACTTCTCTGGTCTAACCCATTAACCCAGGACAGGGTCCAGGCCGGGCTTAATTGCTTCGGTTTCATTAAGGTCAGCAGCTTGAAAAGCAACCCAAAAGTGGCCAAAACAAAAGGGGGGAAATTAGGTGAAAACTTTTAACTTTTTAATTTATGCATTGACAAACTTAAACGACCGAGTGCGACTATAGGAGCAGGACAAACAAAAGGGCCAAGTCTGTTCCCAATGCGATAAGCCGCAAAGACTGCACTCTCAGACACTCAACGCTCCTAACCTCTTCTTATTCTTCTGACCAAATTGGGGCAGACAAAAACATCCAAAGGGCAAAAAAATATATATACATTTATATAGTCTGTTACCCTTGTTCTTTTCGTTAATTGCATCCGTACTAAAGCCAAGTAAAGCTGGGAAAGGACACGGGTTCTTAAAGTGTTTTTTTCGCATCTACTTCAAAGAGAAGCTGAAAAGCCTTGCAATTTGTGGTCCAAATAATCCTAGACTTTTCCTAGAACTGCGAACAAGATGATTTGGCTTTCTGTGAGCTTTAAAATGCATTGAAGAAAATAGAAAACAAGAAATTATTTTCCAATTTAATACATTTGTATAGTAAAGTTCAAGAAAATTTTTATATTTCGGATTTTATATAATTTATTTAAAAGTATTTTACATCAGCTTCAAGCTTTAAGTGTGCTTCTTAATAACCATAGTTCCTCTTCTATTTCACCAAAAGTCCTTATAAGGCAACATGACTTTAAATTGAACTTTGCATCCACACACATTCGGCTTAAACCCCAATTAGATGCTCAGGCAAAAATATTGAGAATAACCAAGCGGAAACAATTCGTTTTTAATCTGTAAAAGCAAGTTCATAAATCCCTCAACAATCATCCAATCAAAATATTTCTTGTTCCACCATCCAAGGCAATTTGGAAAACCATCAGTGCAATAAATATGTCCAGTCATTCCATGACCAAAAGGCCATGACATCTGCTGCCGTTGATACTGTAGCATTTCACAGATTGCTCGATTACAAAATAACCAGGAAACAAACATGCAAAGTGGGAAGGAACACACAACAATTTTAACCCACCAGGATAGATGGCTCAACATTGAGAGCTAAATCAAAATGGTTTTCCTGGCAGAAGGAGGAACCTATTAAACCGCTTTTGGCCTTCAAAGCCAACGCACACACAAATACTAAGTTGGTTGTGGAGTTGTGCAAAGCATGTGAAAATTGGTAAACAATTTATGTGGTCAAATAAAATTGCTGCGAAGTGGACGGTGCAGCAGTAGTAGTAGTAGTAGTTGAAAATTCAGAAATAAATTTATGACTGCTCAAACCAATAACAGAAAATTCACCATAAACTTTGGCAGTCAAAAGCAGGATATTTCGAAATATGAGTGGTACTGAAAATGAAGATAACTGAGACAGCTAAAAAACACATTGCAATGTTTACATACATTTGAAATATTAAGAACTAGTTGTTTTGGACAATAATTGATTCCCTTATACATTTCGCTGAATATTACTGATCTTAATAATATAATTTTAAATATTATTTCTACGAAAACTTAATCTGAGATTTCGCTTAAATTTATTTTCATAAGCAACGCAAATTTATTCATTCATAAGACATAAATTTACCATCTACAATATTTATTTTTTAAAGTATACTAACTGTATTTAACCAATAACTTGTTCTATGAAATTTTAAACCCTGAACGAAATATAAACTTTATAAATTTAAAACTTTTATAAATATTTATCTTAAGTATTAAGTCGCCAACTTTATAAAATTTGATTTCAATTTAAAAGTACGTTACATTTGTAATAATAAATTAAATAAATAGTAAAAAATATGTATGTACTTTATAAGTTTTGATTTCAATTTTACATATACATATTTATTACTATTAAGTCACCAATTTAAATCTCTTTTGGAACAAAAGGTTTCATGATATTAATGTGAAAATATGTGAAAATAATACACTCTCTACCTAGAACCAAAAAACTTTTCGATGGTAACCTGAACAAAAAAGTTGGCTCACAATCATCTTCCCAATAATTCTGCTGTCCGCGCCACTGGCCATATGCAATAGCTGCAAAATAGATGCAGATACCGAAACCTAAGAGAGGCACCGAAGTGAAACCAGTTTTTGGAGGGATATAAATTACATGCTTAGCTACTCATAGTCCCCGGGCCCAAGCTAAACTTGTGCTCCTTTTTTCCAGAGATTATGAAATAAATTTCCACATGCCACAACATTTTCGCAGCCGCAAACGAACAACAGCAACAACAACCAGATACTACGACTCCTGGTTTCGGCAAATGTTGCACTTGAGATGCGCCCGCAGCGCCAAAAAGTAGGCAACGAAGCCCTAAATTACACACACACACTGCCAAGTACAAGGGAACCTCTCCGGACTAGGGACTTCGGACTGCGGACTCTGGATTCCGGATTCCAGAATGCGGAGAGACAGTGGCCATGCCAATGGCAACAACAATGGATTTGCATATGAAATATTTTTCAATCGCCCTGGGGTCCTTCCACCGCCATGTTTTCCTATTTGTTGGGGCGAAGTTTTGAGTCGGTATAAGATTTGTGAGATGCCAACTCAAATATATACATATATATACAAAAAAAAAAAATAGAAAGTTGCGCACTTCGACGGTGCAAAATTTGCAAAGTTTCTTTCGCTTGCAATCCATATATTACCCGAGATAAGAATTAGACTTGGGATTTGTGTAAAACTTTGCCAGAGACCACCGCACTTTCCGCTCAAAAATTGATGACTTCGAAACCAGAAACTTGGTCCACTTCAAAGCACAAAGCAGCATCTCATTAAACAATTTATTACGGAAATATTCAGACATCAGTAATTCATTGAAATCAGTAAGATAATTAATAAATCACTTAATTGCATATAATTCGTAGCTTACTTCCGGCATTTAATTATGTTATGCCTTCAATATTTAATGTTAGCCAAAAGTAAAAGCAAATTCAATCAATATTGAGCCCTATTAGAGAGCCTTGTTATGTGAGGTAAACTTTTATAAAAGTTCTGATATCATTAATGAGTTAATAAAAATAAATTCCAAACAATTGCGAGCTGTATTTAATAAGAGAGCACAAAAACTAATTAACACTTTCACTGTTCTTTTGCATCTTTTCACGAATTTTATTCCGAGCTTTCTCTTGCACAAAACCACAGCTTTCCCAGCCAGAAAAAAAGGAAAAAAATAAGGAAATAAAAGACCAGGCCGTAAGAGAAATGCCAGCCTGGCTCCGAGAAGAATGCGACACCGTTGCAGGTGGCAGTAAAAAATTGCTGAAATTTCTCCAGCCAAAAAAGCCAGCTGGAGAACAGGAGCCGCGGGTCATCCGCTCCTCAGATCAGAGCACGGCTCATTAAACGCGGGTCACAGTTTACCTCTCTTTTGGCCAATAATACACGGGAAGAAATATAAAAAGAAAACATTGCTAAAATCACACAATTCCACTAAAAGATACAAATAATTTAAAATAAATCTAAACCTTAAATGTATCAAAACCGTATATAGATTTTGTTTAAGAAAGGGGAAAATCGGGAAATATGTGCTTTCGTTTTTATGTAAATATTAACCAAATTAAAAACAAACTGCTGTTGCTTTTGATTTTATTTATTCCCAATTTCAAATGTACTTCTAAAATTTACATGTTTATGTATCTTATTTTGGTAGATGATAATTAATTGCATTTTGTTATTTATATTAAACATATATTCGTATTAGCATAGCTACTAAAAAACACAACCCCCTGGCATATTTTTATGTATATATTGCAAGTTTTTAAATTAAAAATCAGAACATATCTTTTCCAACAAAATTCCCAGTAGAAAAGCTTCTTTGACATTAAGATTATATACATTAAATAACAATAAAGCTGTTTTAAAAACTATTTTTTAAAACTGATAATGCACGGAAGCTATGTGATAATAATGGGAAAAATAATTTTCTGGCAAAATCTGTTTAATTCATACGTGAAAATAACCCATACTTTTTTAACAATTTCATATTCACTTGACTTTAAACTTTTTTGTTGAGTTTTTTTCACAGTGCTGTCCTGTGGCGCATTTTCCTGTTGTTATTTTTAAGCCGGTCGCAGGATAATCCGAAAAGGCTGGCGACGACTTAATGCGCCCCTTGGCTGTGCTAAATAGCTTTCATTATTTACTTTATTTTCACATAAAGCGAGCGAATAAGTTTTTCGCAAGAGGAAAAAACGCAGCACAATGGAGCACAGAGATAGAGAGTGAAATAAATTCTGTTTCTCGACTCGGTTAAAGGATTTCTCGCTTTGTTTCGAAACTTTTTCTCAGCTCAGCTGTTTGCGGACACTTGCCACAGTGGGACCCCTTCCCTTCCCTTCTGGTCTGCTCCTCCTTCTCCTCCGGCGGCAATAAATCATTTCACATATCAATCAGTCAATCAAATAAATGTTTGACTACCGCCCAGCGCCCTCCCGCAGTCGATATTGATTGTCCCACTAAATACAATTTTTGCCTAGTCAGTGAGTCGCCCCAAAAAGGAGCAAGATAAAAAAAAAAGCGGGAGCGGCCAGAAGAAAACTCAGCCTGGCAGTTGACATTTTCCATCAACAAAAAAAAAAAGGAGAAAAGGGTCTGAGGTAGGAGAAAATCGAAGGCCCGCTCCTTCGACTCAAGACATTGTTGCATAGTTCCCAGCAACTATGGCAAATGTCCTCAAGAAGGAGGAGCCCGGGGCTTGAGCGACACGCTTCCTTGCAATTGACAAGTTTTGTTTGCTTTTTGGATAAGTCCGGGTCCCGCCCTCCTGTCTATCTTCCGGTTCATCATCCGCTGCCTTGGGATGGTAAAGGTTATCCCTGAAATTGGCTTGCCAAGCTCATACTTTCCACGTTCGTCAAAAATTACATGTCGAGGATATGCGATACGTGCAATTATGAAAAGTTCGAGATCGAATTTTTGTGATTTGATGCTTCTGTGATACAGTTTAACTTGATTTTTAATATAACTTGGTAAAATGTCATTTTTACGAGAACTTTTCTGGTTTTTTTTATCATTTGTATACTAGGTCCTCTCTGTGTTTACATATATATAAGCTCTTGTTGAAAAAACTAAGGTCTGTTAGTACTGCCCACTAAGAATTTTGATTTCTTAATTTATAAAATTAACCAAAAGGTAGTGTTAATTTTATAACAAATCCCAGAATTTTTATATAATAAATTATATTATTTATTTATATTGCCTACCTTCAGGTTATCTCTCACAGTTGTTTTTCTTGTTCAAGTTTAAGTAATATTTTCAATTTGTGTCATAATTTTGCACATGCGAATTTTTCTATGGTCTTGTGTTTCTCTCTCGGTCTGCACAATTTGGCAAATCAATTTGATTTTTTATGCAATGTTTGGTTGATTTATTTACGAATCCTTTAAGACCACGCAGCCAGCGTAGTATCCTGTGTGTCCTGGCTTCGCTTTTGCTTATGCTCTTTTTTTTGTAGCCTAAGCCGCTTGCTGCTCGGCTTTGCTCCTTTCTCCGCTGCTTGGCTCCTTTCCCGTTCCTTATCTCATTTCGCGTATCACGGAACTCGTTAAAATCACCTTAGAACACGTGACTGCACACACACAGACACACACAAAACACACATACACTCGGCCACAAGGGAAGCAACAGCCTCGCACACACACACACGCACGCCGTAGCTTAGCGTTATGTTGATCCTTTTGCCGGATCCTTTCTCCTATTTTCTGTTTTTCTGCCGTTCCCCGTTGTAAAATGCAATGTCAAAAACACAAAAACTGCATCGCAAAATGGAATCGGGCACACACGCACACCACCAAGCGTTCAATTTTGCGGTTTCCGTTCAACTTTCAGTTCAGTTTCGTCCTTTTTTATTTATTATTTTTGTATGGTATTTTTTTTGTTTTTTTTTTGTTTTTACCGATGGCCAAAAACTCGATAGGAAGTAGCTCAGGCGCTTATATACGCACGTCCTTACGCAAAGGCAACGTAATGTAAACTGCAGCCAAAGGAACAGGACTCGCGTTCCGTGCACAGATTTTCCAATTGGCGAACGAAACGGCGAAAGGCTAGCCGAAGGACCTTCGGTTAAACCGAGGCACCACGAAGCGGAAAATCACGAATGGAAAAGCGAGGGGAGAGAGAGAGATCAAATACAAAAGGATGTCAGTTGGAGAGGTGTGGTGGGTTTTGGTCTCTGGGGAACTCTGCTTGATTCCCCTGCACTCAACTATGGGGAATGACAATATATAAACTTATAATCGAAAAATTAATAAATAAAAAAATTGAACTTGTATACTTATGCTGATTATGAACCTAGCTTAACCGGATAATACATTTATAATTAAATTAAAAAAAAAAAACCTTTAGCTATATAGGAAAATCAAGTTACAACTAAAACTTTTGGGACCAAATTTATTACTATTATTTTATTCGTGTTTTCGTCAAAACCGTAGCTATACTTTTAGTAAAAACAACGGAAAAGGAATTGCTTCTCTTATGGACAGGAACACAATTATTTTAAAAATCTAAATTTCTCAAAAAATCACAGAGAATTGAAAAATTTAATTCCAAAATTTCGGTCTAATGGTGGCGTTGCACTGCTTATCATATGGCTGCGAAAATTCACCACGTTCCCCTCTCAAACTCAAACTTCTCTTAACTGCTTTCTTACAATTAAGTTATTCAAATTAAGTTTGTATATTAATAATAATATTTATAAAGCAGAATTGGTAATATCTTTATTTTATAGGGTTTTCTTTATACTTGTGGCATAATGTATAACCAATTAAAATAGGTTTTAATGCGATTTATTTAAACTTACTAAGTCCAATGCCGACTGCTTTTAAATATGAAAACTCACCAATTTCCCCTACTCAACTGCTTGCTTATTTGTTTAATTTTCACTGCTTGGCAAAATGGAGTAAGATGGGAAAACAAAGCAGTTCAGCGATATCTAAATAATATTCCTAAAATATATAATGAAATATAGATAAATTGTATACAATTTAATTACTTTCTAAGTTTTTATTTTTTGAAAAAAACATATTATTAATGACTTTAAATTCTTTTGAATTCAATTCAAAAATACTTTTATAATGCTTATAAAAAAGTGGTTCTTTATAACAATTAGGGATTAACTTGCATTCCCAAAATTAAAATACTGAACTGTGGAACATCTTCCTAGATTTCTATATTACTATTTCATTGCAATAAATATTAAATTAAAAAACGCACTCAAAAACAACTAACAAAACCATTACATATTTTTGTAATAAATGTCGCATTTACAAAACCCATTAAAACCAACTTATCATTCGCTCAACAAGGGACAAACTTTGATGTATGACCAACAGTAGTCCTGGCAGGCGACTCTTGGTCTGGTCAGTGACTCCAATTGCGGGAACCAGCATAATTGTAAATCAAATCGCTTGCCAAAGTGTCCACCATCCGAAACCTACTCGAAGGAGTACTTAAGTGGAACATAGCCTCATGTAAATGACCGTCAGTCTGAGACCGAAATGGCTGGGAAAAAAATTAGTTGCCATTGGCAGAAACACTTTGCGCCCAAAATGTCATAATCATAAAAATTTGCAATTATGCTGATGACCGCAACACAACAACAAGAACACCAACAACAACTGACAACTGGAGCAGGACATTTCCAGTTCATTAGCCAGACCACGCCCCTGCCACGCCCCCAGGCTACTTGGCACCGCCCTTCTTTTGGGCCACACACACATTGGATTTTGTTGCCCCGGGAGATTTTTACTTGGCACAACTTCCAGACTGGGAATAATGCAATACAAATTATGCAGACAACTGGAAACAATAAAGTCATTAGCCTCCATTCTTAGCCATCAGGCCATCAGTGGCAATGGGGCTAAAGTCAGGCAAACTAGCAGTTTGATGTGGTTTTATTTAATTGGTAAATATTCGGTAGGAATTTTGTTGTAAGTCAGTAGATAATAAAATTAATACAATCTTAAACTGACATTAAATAAACATAAAGTTTATGGAACATTTATTTAGAAATTTTAACACATATAAGGTTTCTTATTTTTAAACGATGAACGTTTAGTCTTGTTCAGAAAGTCCATTGATTTGTTTCGGCACTCGATTTTCATATTCGGACATTAATAAGTTTACAGCTCTAGGAACCAGTATAATATAATAATGATACATCATAATAATAATAATAATAAAAGAAATAAAATCAACTCTTAATGAATTTACAAAAAATCTGACGACAAATAACTATAACTAATATGTAACTAATTTAACTTCTTTTCGGATCGTAAGCTGATTATAAATTGTGGCTGTACTTCTGCACCATCCAAAAAGTCAATACTTTTAGGGTTTAATTTATTTATAAGTGTTTTATTATGATCTGCCTTAAACATTTAAAAATGCTACATAATATAATTGCATTTATATTATTTTCATATCTCATACATTTTGTCAGCCATACGAGTTTGAATTTAAAGTGTACCTTTACATATAAAAAATGTATGTTAAAGGATAGTATATATTTAAAAATGTATTTTTTAATTAAAATAAATAAATTTAACTTTAAAACATCAAAATGAATATATCTGAAGGTTGCAATCACTTGCAGTTTGATCATGCAAATCATAATAAGTCAAAAAATACATTAATTTTAGCATGGAAACTTTTCCAATGCTAGTTTTTAATGGGTTAACAAAAATGTATAATGAAATTTAAGTTAAAAAAAAAATTAAAATATTTTTAATGCATTTTTGAAGTTTTAACCCCTTATCAAGAGTGGAAGATTTTGAAAAAACAATTTTTTTGACGGATCGACTCTGCTATAAATGATGATCAATCAAATAAGGGTTAAGGGTTCACAGCGTTTCAAGTTGACTTAAACTATTATACCCTGCAAGGGTTTTAAAATAATGAAACTAATTTTAAATAAAAACCCTTGAGCACGGCTTAGTTAGTTTTTCATAGACATCAATTTATTCATATCAAATGTTTTTGGTGCGTGACTGTTTTGCTTATCACTTAATACATGCTGTGGTTTCTTTTTTGTTTTTTTTTTGTTTTCTTAGTTTTTGTTGTTTTTTGTTTTCTTTTAAATGTTACTTTTTTCAGTTGTTTTACATAAATTCATTTCTTACAATACGTGATTGCGTTTTAGTTAGATTTCATAAATAATTCACAATATTTGTTGATGGCAGACGCTTTTCGGTTTTTGGTTTTCTATAAATATTTTCACAATAAATTAATGGCTTAAAAAGAAGGGAACTACTAGGACCTATCGTGGGACCCCGGAGGGCACTCTTCCCCTGCGCAGCTCTGCTACTTGGAATTTGAGTACAAATGCGAGTATAAGTCAAGGTCAAGGCCTAGCTGCTACGCGCACCTGCGGGAAGCTGTGGATGTCCCCCAGGATCCGGTGGTCTCTTCTTTCTTCCGGATTAATTCCGTTTCTTTTTTCGATTTTGGTTTTCCAAATCACCTGCACTTAACACTTACGATTAGGTGTGGATGGGGCATGCAAAAAAAAAGAAGAGAAGAGAAGAAGAAAAAAACTACCTAGCGTTCTTAGATTAGCGATTAAATAAGACGCCTAAGGAGGAGGGGAATCACCATTGGTTGGAGGGACGGCGCTCGGCGCCTGGTGCCGCACTGCCCGAAAATCGCGGCGACGAGGAGTTCTGCGAGGAGCTGCTGCTGGGCATGCTGCTGCAGGCTGCCTCATTCGCCAGCAGCGTGTGAATGGCCGCCAGCAGCTTCTTGCGAGCTCCAAATGCTGCGATGCCAAGCTCCATCAAGTTCTCCTCGGTCAGCGTGGTGAACACCTCCAAATCAATTTCGTTAAGCACAAAAATTTCTACAACAAAATAATAAAGAGAAACGTGTATTGAAGCCAGGATCATTTCATTTTAGTAAGGATAGACTCACTGATATAATGCTCTAGACCCAAGCTGGTTAGCAGCGTCTGAATATCCTTGTGCTGGGCCAATTGCATTCGCCTATTTACCGGCGTTGCATCCAGCAGTCCTGTGGTGGCACTGAGTCCATATGGGGAGCCTAGGCCCGGTGGCAGTCGCCAGCTTCCACCGCCTCCTCCTCCTGCTCCTGCTCCTGCTCCTGCTCCCCCATTGCCATTGTCATCCGCCGTGTCGATGGGTGCCGGCGAGGTGCAGCTCAATCCCATGCCCATCCAGGCTGGTGTGGGTGTCCGCAGCTCTCCCGCCACCGGTGTCCTTTCCATGGCCTTGTATCCCAAAGCCCGTTTCATGTCAAAGTCAAAGGCGCGATGAGCGGCATGTTTATGGCCTAAGCCGCTGCCACCGCCGCCGCCAGCCAGGTCGTAGTGCAGGGTGCGATAGCTCTCGGCGCTGCCGGGTAGCAGGTGGGCTCCACCACCCACTCCATTGGAGTTGCTGAGGCCCAGGAGTACGCCGTCACTGAGGCGTCGCCCAAGGCGGGCCCCTCCTCCACCGCCACCTGGAACGCTGCCCGCCTCGCTGCCATATGTGGAGTCAGGGGAATAGTGCGCCCGACTATTGCCACAACCTGCTCCCAATCCCCCCGATCCTGCCGCTCCCGCTGCCGAGGATGATGAACTGGAGGACACTGCACCCGGAACTTGGGCATACGGGGGATACGATTGCTCCAGGGAGGTGGTGCTGCTGCTGAAGCTCTGATAGCCGCTGGTATTCTGGCTGCAGCTATTCCGTGGCGAGACATTCAACCCTGCGGAGGGGGGAAGCGGCTGCTTGAGCGGTGCAACACCTGATGGCACCTGCAAATAGTTGTTGTTGTGATTGACAACCAGCGGACGACCCTGCGCCTGCTGCTGCTGCTGATGTTGCTGATGATGTTGCTGCTGCTGCTGCTGCTGCTGATGCTGACTCTGCTGCTGGAAGCTGTTGTGCAGCTGCATATACTTCTGAGTGGGCGCACAGATGCCAGTGGGCGTGGCCAGACCATTGGCACTGAGCAGCAAATGATTGTTATTGGCATAGGGCGTCAGTTGACCAGGAAGGACCGGAGGCAGCAGGGATGGTGTCTTTGGACTATCCACATAACCGGCCAACAGGGCGGTGAGTTGAGTGCGATAGGCCAGATTGAGGTCCTTGTCCTTGGGCATGAAGTAGAAGTCGGGTACCTCGGGCTTTACGAAAGGCGTGGCCAGGCGCAGGATCTCCTGGCGGGCCTCGTATATTTTATCTAAATGTAATTATGAGTTAGTAATTAATTTATATAATTTAGTAATCTTACTCACCTATAAACTTCTCCACGCCCTTGACCACAATGGCCAGTGTACTCTGGCGTTGCTTCTGGCGCAACGTAATGTACACACCGTACTTGGTGTTGAGGCTCATTATCTCGGAGGCATCGTTCTGGTTGTCCGGAAAGTCAAATATCAAGGCTACGGGCAAATTGCCAAGCAATTGTTGTCGCGCCAAATAGACGTCATCGATGCGTCCGCTGATCGTCACCTGTGACTTCTTCAGCGGCTTTACATTCATGTCACTCAGATCCGGAAAGATGATCTTGGTCTGGGTGCGTTCCATGATGCTCAACAGATTCACATTATTCTTGCCCTTGACGATCTCGTGATGCTGCGGCGAGATCTCCATTTGGACGTTCACCAGGATTTGACTCTGGAAGAAGGGAAGAAATTGAGGGTTTGGTCTTGGGGAATATCCTTGAGATATCCTGGAACTCACCGCAATGCTCTCGCAGGCAAAGTTGATCAGCAACTGAGTGGCATCTCTGACCTGGGCGGATTCCTTTTCCGATCCCTTGACCAAAACCAGCGAAGTGTGCAGCTTAGGACGTGTAGAGAATATGACCTAAGGGGTAGCATTGTTACATACATTCATAAGTGTTTTAATTTTTAGATTTTCATTCATTTCCCACTCACCTGCACATTGAACTTGCTCTCAATCATCTTGATGTAGGGCGTCTCATGGTCTGGCTGTGGCTTGCTGGGTCCCATCACCGGCATCTCGAAGGAGATGAGCAGCGGCGTGGAGAGCCGGACAAGGGCCCGGGCTCGTTCCACGCCCTCCAGGCTGCCGCACAGCGACACCTGGTTGGATTTCTCGGTGGGATTGGAACGGTTCGAGTCCGGGAAGTGAATGTGGGTATGAGTGTCGTCCATGATGCGTTTGATGTTGTTGCCGCCGCGTCCGATGATGTACGAGTGGTCCGTGTAGCTGACATCCATTTTCATGATCACACGGGTGCCCTACATACAAAATACTTTAATTAGTAAGAAACTTATTGAAACAATTAACTCAATCGACCCACCCTCGAGTCAAGGCTGCTCAGGATGCGCTCCTTGGCCCGCTGCACCTGCTCCGGCTTGCCCACAATTCGCACATGGGGATCTAAGAAATAATTACATCAAATTTATATTTTTAATTGGAGTTCAAGACTCCTCACCCTTCTTGCTCTTGGCACCAATTTTGAGTCTGCAAGGCCAGCTCACATAGGTATCCGTCGTGTTCATCATCTAAAAACAAATCGTATTGGATATATGACGCTCTATATACCAAAGTCAGCGAAGGTCTTTTGCCAATCACAAACAGTTACTAATAAAAATTACTGAAATTTATAATGGTACAGCCGGAAGTCCAAACAAAAAAAGACATTAATCAAATCACTTAAAAATTTTGTTCAAAGAGTAAGATCCTATTGTAACGGAAACATATTACGATATACAACAAATTTTAATTAAATTTTAAGGCATGGCATTCTAAGGCTTTGACATTAATTACAATATGATCTGAAAATATAATAGTATATCGTATGAAGTTTATAAATATATCTCTGCTGTGAAACTGTCATTGTTTGAAAGTCAAATTTCAAGGGGGCCCTAAAATACATTTCTATACAAAATATCTTCAAAACTATAGAGATTTTTAACAAGATATTTAATAGGTTTCATTATTTTTCAATATGGCTATTTGGATAATGGTATTTATAAAACAAAAATGTATATTTTATATATGATTTTTATAAAGGGACTTCTCTCTTTACATTTTCACTTACGTCATGAAAGAAATATTCGGCTCCATTCATACCCTCGATGGCGCTGTCAGCTATGAATATATATATTTCAAATATAGAGAATGAAATAAGGATAATCTCAGGTAATCTCACCCTTTATCAACTGCTCCAGTTTCTGGCGATCAACCTTGAACCGTTCGGTGTGCAGATCGTCTGGATTTTGGACGCCCAACTTCATGGCGATGGCGCGTATGTCACTCCAATCGCTGTCCACCGAGGAGATCTCGCTCTGGGTCTCGCTGGGAGCCCCACTGCCCACAGATGTGGTCGGGGGCAGGGCCTGGAGGCTGGCCAAGGATCCGATCCCGTCCATGCCCATGGCCACCATCGGTGAGTTCGCGACATCTGCGGCCGTCGGATACATCAGTTTATTGAACGAGGCGCAGGACAACATCGTGGAGATGTGGGTCAGTGGTTCGGTTGTTCGAGAGGAGGTCGAGATGTGGGTTCAAATCAAAGTGGGTCAGAAGGAAGTAGAGGTTCTTTTTAAAAACCAAGCAAAATGTCCGTTTACTCTTCCTCGACAAACAGCAATGTCGATGCGTTTCTGGTCAGCGATGTGAGGTGAAATGCGTGTGGGGTGTGAGTGTGTAATGAGTGGGTGAGCTGAAGATGAGATATGTAATTGATGATTGAAGAATATGTTGTCTATATATCAATTTTTTTATACATTTATTAAAAAGATCTTAAGAATCCACGATATCCAAGGAATCCAAATGTTAAGAATAAAGTTGCGATGACAAGTTGCACGGGTTTGAAGTAATATTGGGTTTATTTTAGTACAAAACATATTTTTAACTACGAATTTCAAACAGACAAGTATTGCATTGAACGAAGATCATGGCAGGAATTTTAAATATACATCATAAATGTACGAATTCTAGTATCACAATTTATTTTATTTAAATGATTTTTATAAAGATATTGTATTTTTAAATGACACTTTCAAACAGACAAGTATTTCCTTGAACGAAGAACATGGCAGAAATTTAAAAATATAAAAAATATTCAATAATAAATTCCACATTATATGATTTTGTCGATGATATTTTAGGTTATTAAACCTTTTTGACAAGTAAAAATACCACAAATTCATATTCAGGAATATTAAAAAACTGTTTTAATTCTATTCATAACTTTCTTTTAATTAATTTTTATAAAGTGGACTAACTAGAAGGTGTTCTCTTTAACCTTAATTTCCTTTTGTCTCTTACGGGAGATTAAACTTCAAAGTATGTATAATTTTCTTAACTTTAATGTTTAATTAATCAACCAGCAAAAAAAATAATAAAGTAATATTGTAGGTTTTAGAGATAAAACGTTTTATGTACTAAAAGAATTTTACTTTTATAAGTAACTTTTATACATTTAAGTAAATGATTGGGCATTTATAAAGTTGTTAAATATTTCAAATAATATCGTCGGCTTATTAAAATTTTTTAAAATAGATTGTCTATGAAATTAAAGACTGCTTTGGTCTTGGTTTATAATTAATATTATGAACGTTTATGAAATAATACCTATTGTGGTATACGTTATTTTTAAAATTGATTTCTCTGAACTTTTTTTTTTGTAAATTTATTGTAAGCATTTTTTATTCCAAAATGTTAGCTATTAAACATATATATGAGTTTTATATAAAAAGGAAAAGAAAACATTTATAACTCATTTGCAAAATGCTTCCTATAAATTTTAATTATTTATAAAATTATTTGTTTTTTTCTTCTCCACACACTTTGTTTTTTTTTACAATATTGTTGTTTTATTTAATTTATTGTGATGAGTGCAATTAAGAATTACCAAATTCTTGCATTTTATATTAAACTAAACCTATTCGATTTATTAAAGAACTAAGTATGCATTTAGTTTTAATATTCAACCAATTTCAATGATTACATTTTATTTAAAAGTTTAATTTAATTTTTTCTAGAATTAGCACTTAATCTAATTTGGTTTGTAGTACATTATCTTTTAAAAGGCATTCACATTCGAGTTCAATTTAAATTACAACTTTATAAAATACATTGACTTGTTTCAAGTTTATGGAAATTTACTGAACAATATTGTCTCATCCGATATTTTCTATTTTCCCCAACGACATAACCTCTCAACCATAAATCAATCCTGCCATGAGGTTTCCCTTTCTCCTTTTCTCCCCTTTCTCTCGCCGAGAAGCGGCGAAACGAAACCGCAAAAAGGCAGACACGAATAACTGTTAACCGTATAATGCCACACTTTCTCCTCACGGGAAAGAGGATTCCAATTAGAAGAAACTTACCGATGGAACTCGATCTCTCTCTCTCTACTTGAAGTTGAACAGCAGACCCTGGAAGTCCAGGCAAATGGCGTGCGAGAAATCCTGGACGAATTGGACGGCCTCGACGAGACAGACGTTCATAACAAAATTACGTATTTGTTGAAATCGTTCGACGAAAGGCATTTAGTAGGTTGTGATCTGGGAATGCGCGGCTATATATATATATATATATATCAGTATATATATTAGCGGGGTCGGGGGGCAGGGAGGTTGGGTTTGGGGGGTTCCGTCAGAATTAAATATATGGAATATGGAATGTCTGGATTTTTAGCTCCTGGCTGGGCTTCCACTTTCAAATGTGACTCGAAGGCAACTGAACGCGGTTTTGGGTTTCGATTTTCGATCGCGGCCGGAATTTGCCGAAAAAATCTAACTGTAGGCCGAGGATGAATTCTGCATTGTTGTTGCTGGGTCAATGAACCAAAAACCGTACATACAAACTCTCACTCTCTCCCTATCTCTCATAAAAAAAGGGAAGAGAAAACAAAACAAAGACGCTCAAGGGATACAGCGCAACATGTTGCCAACTGAAGCGCATCATGTTGCAGCTGTTACTGGCGCTCTGTAAACTTGCAGCTGAAATGTTGCCAGCGCTGTAACGCTTTCATTCACTTTTGGCGCCAGAAAAAGCGGGCGGAGCAGAGAACCGAGAAAAAACCGACTTTTTTGCCGCCAAAAACACGCCACTTACCGCAAATTTCGGTTCAGATCGTGTCACACAAACACAAATGTAATTAACTTAAACACAATCAATTGTAAAATCAAAATGTAACAAATATATATATATATAACACGCTCGTTTTCACGTAAAAAAATTACATATCGCTTGTCGATTTTATTTCAAGCGCAATTAATTTTCCGTCAAATTGGTCAAATCAAAATTCGAATTGGGATTATTCGGCTGGCAGTCGATGTACTTTTTTCCGTGCGAGTCGAAAAAAATAACCACTACCGAAGGTGAGGCGAAGTAACAGAGGGAAAAACACGTGTGTGAAAAACACAAAATTGAAATGTAAATGTAAATGTAAATGGTAATTGCAAGTGGGAAAAATGCAATTGAAAGCGAGTGAGCAAGCGAAACTGAATTGTTGTCCGAAGTCAAGTATTGGTAGTTATAAATTATAGCATTGGATTATCGTATTATCTTAGGTTCGGTGGCGGTGCCCGGCGTGTGCAAGTTGTCGTCATTGAAGCGCGACTCAAGTCCAACTACATAAGTTTATCGCTGATTTTCGGTGGGTCCGTGTCCCAACTGACCTTCAGTTCCGAAAGCTCGCTCAGTCTTAATGGAAGGCGGTGCAGCGGGGGCGCTACACTTGATCCACTAGCCGATGTGCGTAAACAAAAAGCTCTTAGTGTGGTCGGATAACGGGACTTGGCTAGGAGCTTATGGCTAACAGCGAGCCAACAGAGCAGAGCTTTCAGGGTCTGCCAGCAGGTGTCCCCTTGGTGAATGTAAGCACAGTGAGCTCGTAAAGTCTGCACCTTCACAGTTCTGGCTAAAATGGTAGCACTCAAAAATCATAAAAAACATATTAACTAAACTTCGTTCACATTTTTACTGGAAATATGTAAAGTTTAATTTTTGTAGCATTTAATGGCAGCCATATAATAAAAAATAAAACCGTTTTCATAATATTAAAAAGGAAATAATAAGAACAGTAAAATAAATAAACAATATTGAACATCTTCAAAGTTAAAAACTTTTTCTTGTTTTTTCTTATTCATTCCTATAGCAGGTTTACAATATACTATATTGTTTATTTTAAATATAATGGTCCGATTTGCATTATATAATATCAAAATATCGTAAACAAAAATAAAAGTGGATAAAAATATGTTCAGAAACGCCAACATTTTATTTGTTGATTCATCCTTCCTTTTCAATATTTCCAAAAACATTACCTTGTTTTTAATTCTTTTATTTATTGTAATTATCTATTTAATTTTTATTATTTATTATTATTATATCGCTTGTAAAAGGATATGCTTACTTTCAATAGTTTAAAAGAATAATTAGTAAATATAATTAAATTTACCTCTACCATTTTCAATTCAGAAGTATGAAGAGAACACCGATATAAAAAAAACACATCATTAAATATTTATTATTGTTTATTTATGTATAGTTCGCCTGCTTATGGTTTAATCAAATGCCATACACACTAACTTTTATATGCTGCGCTTTGATTTGAATTCACTTTTTACATTAATATTCACTGAAATCATTAAAACTATTATGTTCTTATGATTTATTGATTAGTTTTTCTTTTTATTTCCATGCTGCGTTTTTTTATACATCACTGTTTACTTTTCTGGGGGACTTAATACTACATTTTTTTCGGCTTTACACATTTTGGTTAGTAATTATGTTTGTGGATATGAATATTTTATATTCAATGCAAAATGCATCTGCATGCTTTTGATTTCCATTACTAACTCATTTTGGAACCTTAAAATCTATAAACACTTTCTGTTTTACCTCCTAATTCTATATGTTTTGGGTTAATATGCATACATTTAATATTTCGTATATATATTTATTTACTTTATAACATTTAAAGAAAAATACACAATTTTTCACGTTTGTTTTCTATATACATAAACCTAGTTTTTACATTCTCGTATATCTCCTGGTTTTAATTGTTTTTGCTCTTAATGAAACCATAGTGAAACTAAATAAAAAAATCACGAATCTAATTTAATTTTCTTGATAATGACATAAATTAGGGAAGACAACTTTCACAACACGATTTGATTACAGAAATCTTGGCGCATGCATTTAAATATTATAGTGATTATATCTTTTTCAATATTACAATTTTTGTTGTAACATTTACACACTGTTTATTTACATATTTTATGCTTTTGTTTATAATATCATTTAACATTTATTGTACTACTGTTTAAAACAATTACTCGTATTCTAAGTTTTCTTTCTGTTCAATTTACATTTTATTTCTTGGCATTATTTATTACCATTAACATTGATTTATTTTCAAGGCAAAGGAACTATTTACCGCTGGATTTTTGTTGGCCAAAAATGTTGAAATAATTGTTTGTTTCTTTCGAGTTTTAATATTGCCCCAATAGCATTTAAACCAAAATGTTCCTATTTTTAATTGTTTCATCTATGAATTTGTGTTTCTCTACAAATGAGGAATTGTTTTTTAAGAATTAATTTTGCATTATGTCCACAACCGTAAAAAGTTCCTTTCTGTACAGTGGGTATTATACTTCACTAACTTTTATTTATTTTTCTTGTTTCTTGTTTATTTACACATTAATTTGGCGAGCATAAATAACTGTTTAGTTCCGTTTCTCTTGGCTTCTCTTGCATTTTATTAGCTTTTAATTCACTTTACAATGCACTGCGGTACCCGAAAGCTAAGCTCAAGTGCAGTAAAAAGTTCCGCTTGCTGTACACTGAGCACAATTTGAGGCAACTTTTGCCTCACAGATCCAGAACATAAAGAGCTGTCTAGCGAGTGTGTGTGGGGAGTACATATAATATATGCATATAATGTGTGTGTGTTTTTTTGTATGTTTTGTGTTTGAATAAGCACAAGTATTTTCTCACCCTGTACGCAAATCCACAAACTAACTGTGCCTCTTGCATATTTCCCTCTGCAATTATTAATGTTTTTGTTTTCGTTTTCTATTGATACCTTCAAGTACTTGGTTTATTGCGCGCAGTTTGTTTCTCTACCTTCAGCAGTTAAAGAAAAGCTGGGTATTAAAGTTGTATTAGACAATGAATAATTAATAGAAAATAAGAATAAAAAATAAATTAATAATAAATATTTGAAGCATTTCAAATATTAAATTGATAGGTTATTTTTCATGACTTTAAATAAATGGATAATATTTTATACTGCGGCAATTTGTAATCTCTTTTAATTAAACAAAATATATATCTCGATTTGTATATAAACCTCTTTAATTGTGCGATTTCAACGTACAGGGTATTTATGTTTACATACGATATATTTTATTGGTTTCACCATCAAGTTATCCCCTTCTCAATCTTAAATTAATTTATTTCCTGTTATTATTCATTGATTTCGCACCGTCTCCGCCTTCAATTGTTAAATATATATTTCGGCACTGCCCCAGATTGTGCGTAACACTCGAGTGCGAGGACAATCCATACTCGCAATCGCATATATTAATTATACTTGGGGTATGTGGCATGTGGGGGAGGGAAGAGAGAGGGGATAGGGGAAGGGGGATAGGGGGTAGGGCGGTGGCAAGCACCTTAAGCTACTTTCGCGAATGCATTTCATCATCAATTCGGCATCAGCATGCGCTCCAATGCGACTGCAACGAGTCCTGCCGCCGCCGTGGAGGAGTCATCAATAATCGCTGATCCTGCCAGCTGGCCACGCCCCCCGCAAGTGTCGTTGACAGGCGCTTAATGCCGCTTGCAGTAACATCAGCAACAGCAGCAACAGCAGCAGCAGCAGCAACATCAGCAGCAGCAGTTGTCGTTGCACTTGCAATATTCGCAGCATCGCTGCGATTTGAAGTTGCCATTGCCATGGCCATTTGACAATTATAAAAGCATTTGACGCTCGTTGCGGATGTTGCCGCTTTCGGAGCTGTCACATCCTTCGCATTCACATCCACATCCCCATCCACATTCACATTCGCGTTCGCTTTCGCGTCCTGGTTGCTGCTCCTGGCCTTCGGCAACTGTTGATGTTGCTGCCTCTGTACCTTGGCCCTTCCAGTTGCCGGCTTTGTGTATTGACAGTTGATAATTTGATGGGCCAGCAGCGTTGCGAGCAGTACTGCCATCGCTGTCCCTCCTTCTTGAATCCACTGCCAGGTCCCCTCGAACTGCCTGTTGATGGGGAGCTTTGTTAGCCAGAATTGCCAGAAGATTTCATGTGCAGCTGTCGAAGCGCCCGATGCACCATTATCCGCTGCAAGGAGACAGAGACAGAGGTAGAGATAGACAGACTGTGAGTAGAGTTTGAGGGCAAAAAAAAAAAAAGGATGTAGTAGGTACGATGCCGTTAATGGGGGCAGCGTATTTTACGCCTTTGACACCTTTGTGCCGAGCTAAAGCAATAAAAAGTGATTTCACAACTCCTCGAATGGTTTTCAAAGGCGGCTTTAAGAGGTGGCAAAAGGTAATTTGATGGAAAGTAACTAGAGCCTAGAATAACCTCGGAAAAATGTCCTTTCGAAACATAGTTACAAGTCTTTTATTTAATACTTTAAACTATATTAATGCTTATCAAAAATAGAAATACTATAAAGTTGGGAAAAAACATAGGCCTCTTAATTTAAAAATCTAAAAAAGATGTTATCTAGTTTCCTTGGATAAAAAATTAACTTAACTTTTAGTTAATTCTTTACTAGCAACTATGACTGATATTTATCCTGTAGCTTAGTTTATAATTAAGCATACAGTGTACATATATCTTTATATCATATATATCAAGTATTTCCTCTGTTTAAAGTACTCATCATCATCTGTTGTAAGTTTTTGGAAGACCTTCCGCTGAACTGTGGCAATTTTCGATAGCAAAGAGCGGAGGAAAGTACACAGCAAATCCAGCTTACCATCCAGCGGGATATTTAAAAATACAGGATACTCTTCAGCCAGACGGGTTCAGCTCTCTCTCCTCTGTGTGTGTGTGTGTGTGTCAACATTGCATTTGCATAAAATTCTGGTCGAGGAATCGGAACATGCAATCTCCTCATTCCATCTGCTTACTACTGATGGAGCTTGCGAGGGTGGCTTGACAACTTCCGTTTTCAGCTGGATTCGCCTCGGGTTTGCTGCTGCCAAAATATTGTTGCATACTTTTATGCGCACACCCTCCTCCACACATAGCATCAGTAATCCAGCGAACTCGATTTTAAATACAATTTTCAGTTGAATGCGTTTACACACTTGTTATTCCTGGTGTTGTCGTTACTCGGTGTTAAGTAAATGTTGTCGCTGGTAAGTGGCAAAAGGGAATACCGCAAAAAGGAAACTCAGTACGTAAGGGAAAGGATACGGATTGGAAGAGGACTCCTTCCGAAACCGAGTTTTGCCAGCGGCTCCAATCATCGCTTCCGTCCTGCACAGTCTGCCGCCATTCCGCGACAATCTTTCATGTCTAAACTTAGTTTATACCAATTTGATTTCCCTGCCATTTGATTCGATAAGCCTGCTCCTGCCGCTGGTTGTTACGGGCCAGGACGGGACAGGCCAGGCAGCCTGGAAGAATGTTTATGCTGCACAATTTTATTTACATAATTCACATTGTGTCGCCGACATTGCCAGGATGCAGGCACAGAGTCCATCCTTGTTGTTTGTTAAAGGCTCTGCCTTGGCTTAAATCGATGCGGAATGGTATCACTTAAATTTATCGGTTAAGCAGAGACAGATGTGTTTTATAGGGAACCGGTACATTAAACATTTAAAATAAATCCCCCCCTTCTTGTGCATAATGTCCTTAAACTCTTCCTCCATATTTTCAATAATTTCTTACATTAGCTTTCAAAAAATACTCACCCGAGTAATAGGTTAGATAGGACTCATTGTGATCCTCGTAGCCACCACGTTCGCCATTGGGATTCTCCTCGAGGGGATAATTATTCATGTCATACGATCTGCCCGAGGCCATTATCCTGGGACGGTCCTCCTCAATGATGCTCTCCATTTCCTCCTTGAAGATGTCGAAGATATTGGCCGTGCACTTGAGCTGCACAGAGAGAAGGGGAAACCAGGAACATGGATACGAATTAGAACTGGCACTGCAACGAGTGCCAACTGTATATATCCTTACCCTCATCTGGCTCTTGAGAAAATGTTGAGTGGTGACCATGAAATGTATGGCACTCGTAACCGACTCCAGGGTGCTGTTCTCCTGTCTCTCCGTCTGATACGTCTTTATGTGATGCGGTGGCACCTACAACAAAAACAAGCAAAGGAATAATGTCAAGTGGCAGCTCGAGCTTGCAACGAAATCAATTTGCAAAATATTCATCAATAGAAACTATCCCTGCCTTGTCCTAGTCTCCTGCAATCCTTTCGATCAAGTGGGCCCAGCAGTGTGAAAGCGAATAGTAACCAAAGGCAAAAGCTGACACTTGTCCCTCCAAAAAATAAAGGAGACCACGGCAGAGCGGCTCCGGCAAATTTATAACTTATGAATGATGAATAGATTTACGCTTCAGTGATTAACTAGAGCAGAGCGAGAGCAGGGAGCAGGAGCAGGAGGCAGGAGGCAAAGGACATGGGTGAGCTGGAGGCCACTTTGTTTGCGGTGAGTTTATTTTGAAGTGCCCGGCAGATACCGTTGCCTGACCCACCCGACCTCGCACCACCCAATAGCCAGCCCGACCCCAAAAGCACCACCTACTGACAGCACAAACTATGACGATGACGATGACGACGACGACTACGATGTTGCTGCTGCTGTTGCTGCTGTTGCTGATGATGATGATGATGGTGGTGATGGAGGTGGTGGTGGCTTCGGGGGCGGTGGTGGTGAGTGGTGCTCCTGCTGAAATGCGCTCGTTAGCTAAAAGATCAAGTGGCCGCACCCACCATGTGGTGTAGGCAACACTCAAGTGCTGTTTGTGTTAGTTTTCCTGCTTTATTTTCACATGTTTATATATAAATTTATATACACATATGCATTTTTGCTGAATTGCTTGTTTTGATGGCGATTAAATCTGATACTGGGGCTTGCTGCTCTCTCAAACTGAGTTTTACTTTTATTTTTAATTCTGATTAAATCTGCAAGTATTCCTCGGATTTCACTTAAACATTTATCGATTCAATTGGCAATCGAAAGGGTTGGGATTAAACTACAACAGAATGTGTATCCTTCGAGAGCAACATGTTTAAACTCTTTTGCTGATTTGCTGAGTATCTGTAGAAATGTTTATTTTAAATATTAAATGAAAATAATGAAGTCTTTACGATTGTGATGGAAATCGTTTCGATCTATCAATCTTATACAATTTCCTAAGTGTATATATATATACATATATTTATATATTGAAGAGAAATATAAATAATAATCCTACATATTTTATGCAAAACAACAAGTAAACTAGTCTTAAACATATTTTTTTATCCAATTTAATTAAAAATCTACTTATTAAATGGCTCCCAGATTTTTCTGTGTTCCTTTTTCCGACTCCCTCTTAAACCTCTAAACATTTTCCCCAACATTAAACACCGCCTAAGCCTTACAACTCGATATTTGTCCTGAAAAAACTCACTCTCAGAGGCCGCGAATTTGAATTATAGCTGGAGGAGGATGGGGTGGCACTGATATTGACAACGCATTTACTATACTCCAGCTGTCTGGGGCAACAATAACGAAGGCACCAGCCAAAAGTCGGCACAGAGTCCGTAATGTCCTTGCTGGCCATAAAAACGTTAGGGAAAAACTAGCTGACAACCTAAACGTTTCTTGAAAAACCAAACGCAAAATGCCAGGACATGTCAGCCCCGTTTTCCCTTCGAAAAACACCTGACTCACCTGCCACCCCCTGACACCTGTGCAATCATGCGGAGCGGCAGCAGGACTCTCTCTCTGTCCTGGCAGCTGGCTGCAAACCGGCGACCTCCTGTTGGAGCAGACTGCTGTGGTTGCGGCCATAAAACATCCCGCCCAGCAAAGCGAAAGGCATAAAAACTGACGGCATTTCAAAAAATGAACATATCCGAAGAAAGGCAAAAGCAGGGGGAGAGGAGCGGAAGGTCCTGGTTCCTGGGTCCCGGGCACAAATAAATGCCAAAGATGCGGCGGGAAAATGGAGGCGTCGCGCACACAGGTGCCAAAAAGTATGCAACAGACGCGAAATGAAAAATCGCATACTAAACGCAAAAAATGGGAAAACCAATGCCCACGTTTCACCTGGTTTTATTTTTTGCGAAACAAGTTGATTGATCAAATGCTGAGGGACAACTTTGAAGTTAACTATTTAATGCACTTTGTATTGAAGTTGAGAAAGAAAGTATGGGAAATGTATCAACTGAAATGTGAATGGATTTGAAACATAAAAATCTAGTTTAATTTGAGATTAAATTTATTAATGTCTGAGGTTAGTTATTACAAATAGTGTTGTTAAATTCTTTATAGGTTTTATAAAAGTTGTTTGAAAACTTTGAAGTTATATATTTAATGTACTTTGTATTGAAGCTGACAAGAATGTATGAAAGTATAAACCGAAATTTGTTTTTGAATTAAGGAAAATTTATCAAAAATAGTTTGGGGTTGAATTCATTAATTCTTGGAATCAGTTATCCAATTAATTTGATTAGGGAATCTCTTCTAAATAAATATTGTACAAATGGTTCTATTAAATTCATTGTGAGTTTTTATAAAATTTGATTTTATAAAAGTTGATATATTACATTCGATGGGACAACTTTGAAGTTAAATATTTAATGCACTTTGTATAGAATCTAATAGAAAATATAAGAAATGTATCAACTGAAATGTGTATTTAAATTTAGGGGTTACATTCATTACTTTAATACAATTAATCTATTTAAGGACTCTTTTTCTTCTAAATATATTTTGTAAAATAGTTGTAGTACCCGTTTTTTATAGGTTTTTAAAAAATGCGTGATTAGTTATAAAGTAAATTAAAGTAATTTACTTTCATTGTATTGATATATTTATATCTATTTCTCCTCTAACTATAATTCAAAATAATTTTCTAATGTGTTTTTTAAAACTCTCTATACCAGAATAACGTCTCAATTATATACATTTAGCTTTGATTGCTTTTGGTCTTAATTTACGTTACTAGAAAGTATTGAAATTAGCAAATGTTTCTCTAAGCCAATTTCTAAATAAATACTTTCAGGGCTTCAAAGGGATAACTCCAACCTCGTAACTAACTATAACATCTCGCACTTCCCAACTTTAAAATAATGTTTTAAATTATAAACTCCTCCTTTTAACTCCACCTAACTCTAAAATTTCTTTTAAGAAACCCTCTGTAAAAAGCAATAAATATGTCGTTACCCAACCGTATTTCGTTCAACTCAAAGTGCATTCATTCAAATGCGACGATGAAAGTGCCGACACACACCAAGTTCCTGGTCCGTTCTCTTTGCCAAATGACTAATTGAAAAAGCGATGGTGGAGGCCATCAATTGAATGCGATCAAAGTTGCCCACTTTCGATTGCCTGCCTGCTAATTGATAGGCGGTGTGGGCGTGGCCAGCTGCGGATAACAGTGGTAAACGAAACCAAAACTTACCACAATACCATTAATAGTCCATGTCAAATTAGCAGCCGGTTTCGAGTATTTAATTGAGCAATTGCCGTCCACCAAATCGCCGACGCGATAGCGTGCCTGTATCCCGGTGACCACAGTGTGCTCTTCCGGTAGCTCTGCAAAAGGAGAGAGAGAGGGGTAATTGTGAGCCAAGGAATGAAAATGTAAAATTGGCCAGAAAGAGCCACCATGCTCAAACAGAGTTGTTCTAATTAATTTGCTCGACCTGACCGCAGGTTTTCCTTCGCCCCTCTTTTCCACTTTGCACATTTTCTTTCTAGGCGTTGCAATATTGCATAGCTATAGCTATAGGTAGTGTGATATAGGAGGGTATTCTTATTTGAATCAGAAGTTCGGATCTTAAAATTAATGATAATAATAATGGAGATTTATTTTAACCTTTTATTACTTAACATTTTTAACTTTTCCTACTGATTCTGCTTAATTATTTAATACAATTTTATATATCGTTTTAGGTAAGTCCTTTAAAAAGATACTATGGAATAATCTTATATAAATCAGCTCTATGGAATTTAAAAATCATACGAAAAGGTAACTGTTTAATATTTTGAAAACTGATTTTTATTTTTTGGATTTTAATTACATTTTAAAGATTTTAAAAGTTTATTTATGGATGTCTATTTATAGATTTATTGATACAAAAAAGCGTTCAGCCAAAAAGTAGGCAAGTATTTTGTAAGCTAAGATCCGGGTATTTCCTGGTCAGTATTTCGTATAAATCATATTACGTTACGTTTAACGAATAATGGAAATAACCAGGTCTATCAAGCCTATTTTAAATGTGACCTGAATATTAAAACGCATTTTCCTATTAACTAAAAAAAGGTGTATAAATTTCGACTTGATTTAGCTGGCTTTCCCATGTTCTCCATTTTATTTCACTTACCGACCACCTCCATTTCGCCGGACACCATGGCTGTTTGAAATGTGGGTGCCTCCACGGATATTTCGCATGTAAATTTTCCCGAAATATTCAACGGCACCGACTGCAGCACGACGTGGCTCTGATTCGAAAGGTTTCGCTGCAAAAAGTGAAGGAAAAGAAGAGAAAGCGGCGGTGAAAGTCAGCGGGCGGGTCAAAGAAAGCGTGAAAGGAAATGAAGAACGTAATAAAATTAGTTGGGCAAAATTGGCTGGACGCGGTGCATAGAAATTGAATATAACCTCGTGAAAAGTGCAAAAATAGCAGCAACAGCAGCAGGGGGAGGGAGAATGGAAAAAATAAATAGAAAAATGTTGTCTTGGTTATGAATGACGAAAAGCACAGCTGCTGGTGATGAAAGATAGCTCACTGATGAAAAGTGACTGCAAATTGAGGGCATAAAGGTGAAGAGTTGACTTTAAAGTTCAAGGGGTCAGTCATCTGGCTTTGAGTAGGATTTCTTTTGACAAAAACCGATTTGATTTTCAGGCTCTGTTTTACGAGCCTAATCTGAATTTACATCTTATTTATGGTCTTTTGGGTGGTCTATAACCCGGAAATAAAAGAATTTAAGCCGAAAAGAAGTGGTTTCTGCTTGGTTTAACTTGAAATCAATCTTTCTTTACCACGAATTTCTAGTACTTATAATGGTCACTTAGTATCTTGTATTTATTTTGCGTTTAAATTGAACTTAATTCAGTTTTTACCTTAAATTAAGATCTTCCTTCGCAAGCAAACAATTTTTTACACTCATTAATGATTGCTGGCAAAAATTTAATGTTTCGCATTGAAAATCAGGCAACCTCAAAATGGCAATTCACTTAATAAAAATCAAATTTAATAAATTGCATTTAATACTGGGTTAATATTCTGGATAAATATATGTATATGTATGTCACATAAATGCGGTCCACGATGAGGTGATGGTGAGGGTAGTGAGCAGGGATCATTGGCTGAAGTTCTCGTTTGATTGTTTAACCCAATTTGTTGCCTCCGATACCTAATTGGCCCTTGTGTACTTCGATGGAATAATTAAACTCGGCTAATTATACCCTTTCTTGGGGGAAATATTAAATGGAGAGAACATTTGGATAAAAACATAAAACATAAAAATGAAAAGTGAAGAAAAGGTTTATTATTTTTTGAAGGTTTACAAATTCAAATCTGACTGATAGGTAAAATGATCTATTATTAACCTTCTTTCTGGTTCTTGTGGGTACTTTTCGTAACTGAAAAACTACCCTTAACGCCAAAAGTCAAGTGTATTTCGAGTGTCGCTTGATATCAGTGGACTTTATTTCTCTCCTGGGACCTTATGCAATCTGTATATATTGTTTTTAATGAGCCGCAAGTCAATCGCAAGCGCGACTAATTGGCCACGCCCAACAACTCTTAACGGATGCGTCAACGGATGGACCGGCATAATTACAACGGGCAGTGGGGCGAATAAGCCGGCAAATGTCGTTATGAGGCAAATTCTGGCTGGGAGTGGCTGGCAATCAGCCATTATGGATATAATTTACACGCAACTGTAGTAACATGTGCGCGTTATGGGGAATAGGGATATGAGTACGAGTACGAGTATAAGGATATGGGGGCATTATCATCCCGTACTCACCTCTACGTTGAGACCACTTGTCATGGCAAAGACCTTCATAGCCGGATTCTCCTTGGGCGTGTAGCGATAAAACTCACGCTTGCCCTTATACCATTTCACCGAATATAGAGTATCGTTTTCCATATCGTAATTACACGTGAACAGGGCATTGCTGCCACGTTTCACCGCCTGCGGTATCATTACGGAAACATCCTTGAGTGCCACAATAAAATCTGCAAATAAAATGAGTTTCAGGCTTCGTAAATATAAAGTGTTCGTTTAAAAGGATATATTAAGCAAGTGATATTGTGACTTTTGAAAGTATTCAGAGTAGCAGTAGAGATATTTCCTAGAGAAGGGGCTTAACCTTAAGGGTGTTTAAAATCAATTTGTTTTGATTGATAAAAACTGAAATTCGAAATATATATAGTTCTTTTAATTGTTTCAAAAATGTCCCTCCATTTCCAGTTTGCTTTTGTTTTTTAAACCATTTCCTGCATTGACCTCAACTAAAAGGTATGCGGAAAGGTGAGTGAGGTGACCCAACCTCTTCACCTTCGAAATCCCATTGGAATCCAGTTCGATGCTAACTACTAAGCCAACCAACCAACCCTTTCTTCCTTTGACAAGTGAGAGGGCAGCCGGCATGACCGCTGGCTTCCTGTTGGATGTTTCATATGACAATACCGATGTTGCAAACAAAGTGCTTTCCAACTAGCCACCGATTTCTCCATTTGCATTCTTTTTTTGTTTCGTTTTGTTTTGTTTTGTTTTTAACCCTGCCCCTGTCATTAGGCTGCTCGTTTGATGGGATCGTGGGTCGTGACCAAAGATTACTGAAAAAAAAAATATCTAAACCTAATTTTTGATAAATATTCGATAAACAAAACTCGATTTAAGTTGGGTTTGAAATTAAGTTTTCAATAAACTTCTTCATCTTATTGAAATAAGAAAGTAAGGGAAGAAAGAAATACCTAAAACTATTCTTAATAATGATCAAAGATAAAATCCTTCAAAAATTGTTACTCGGAATCTTCATGGATAAAAACTTCTTTAATTTCAGTATTTATTGTAGCGTAAAACATTGCTTTGAAACATTTGAAAACATTTACAGAAACTTGCTTCTTTATTTAATTGGTTTTTTTTGTTATTTTGTTTAAGTTGTTACATTTGTTTACTCTTTAGTTATGTTGAAATTTAAACACTTCAATATATTGATAAATCTATACTTCTTCGACATTTAAATCGTTATTTTGATAATTTATCATTCACAAACCGATAAATCTGACAATTATAATCGGATAGAGAGCAAATTCAATAAAATAACATTCCCCCGATACTGGTTAAAAATATCGTATTTTAATGTTTGATGCATTCGATTTTCGATATTAACAATATCGATATATTAAATTGTACCATTAGTTTGTTACGATATCAAGTAAGATATTTTTTTTTCATACTATATACTATTATATACAATATATTCTACTACATATATTCCTGCCAATGTATGTAAACTTGATTACCTTACAACATGTTTACCTTATTTATACTGGAAAATCATAACCAATTGTTTACTAAACACATTTTATAAGCTTCAGTTTGTTGCTAATAAATTATAATAAATTTAAATATTTATTCAACTGCTTTTACTAACTAATTTACAGGTACACACACACCTGCATTTATTCCCATTTGTCTCACTGGGATTAGCAGCCAGCATTGTTTATTTTTTTATGCAACTTTTTGCAGTGCACATTGTTTTTTGTTTCGCTGGCTTTGGTTTGTTTTTCTATTTTCTATTTTCTGTTTCTGTTGCTGTTTCAGTTTCTATGGGTGCACACTGCTTTTGTTGCCCATATTGACCCATATAACGAGCGAGCATTTTGTTGTGCTCTTCCCCTACGGCCCCACTTGATGTGGCTGCATTTATCGCAGGACGATGAGAATGGGGATGGGGGGATAAATTGTCCTTCAGCTGCACATTGTTGTTTAGCACTGGCCAACCCCATATCCCTGATACCCGCCGCCAAAGAACCACAGCTAGAGAAACAACTTTCCCCCTGGCATTTTATTTTGTTATAAAAAAACTTTTACAATCTACGTTTGTTAAGTATTTTAACTGCTTTCTCTAGGTGGACGAAGGACCTGAGTGTGTGTGTGTGCCATATAAACCAATGAAAATTGCAAGGGCAACTCTTCGTATCATTCACTCTCCTCCAACTCCAACTGGGATGCCGCAAGGCAAGGGCAAAGTTCTATGTCTGCTTTTCGGTGTTTATCTGTCAGTTTATGTTTACAAATGTCCACTTTTAATGGTTCACCATTTAACTAGAGAGACGCTAACCAAAGCAGGAGGAGGAAAGTGCTCTGGGGAAATAGAGACAAGGTCCTGCCATGCATATTGTTAACTTCCATTGTGTTTCCTTACCATTTTATACCCGAATGTCGGTAGAATGTATCTTTTGGATGCCCCACGCACTTGCATTTATATTTCTTTCATGTTTTCCCATGATTTTGATAAGCTACTTATCAAGGTTTCCAAATGTAAAAAGTAGAATTTAATGGAAATTCTGACTGCACACAGAAAACAACGTTAAATGTATTTCAAAAATAATTTAATCTCCATAAGCAGTTATATACTGTGGGGCTTATGGCAAACACGCTTTAATATTTATATAATATTAATGCATATTCTGGTTGGCTGGAATTTGTATTGATTTTACACTCGGCTGAGCCGTTGACCGCGACTTTAGTGTACATAATTTGCAATAAAACTTTACAGACAGAATGCATTTAATTTGGACACATTAAGTTTTATTAAAAGCTGATCAAAAGTTAAGCAGCAAAACAAAGTGCCAGACAAAGTAAACAAAACCAAAACGATGGAGAAGGCGAAGGATGCCAAAAATAAGGTCTCCTCTAAGTTGCCCCGAAAGTGCTTCTCACACTTTGGGTGAAGCCCCCTAAAAATGTATTATTCTACATACCAATCTACACACATATATATATATATATATATTACCAAAGAACTGAGCAGACTCAAAGCAGACTCCAGACCGAGACGCGACCACAGGACCTCAGCCGAAAAATAAAAAAAGGAGAGAAACACAACCAACCGATGACGATGACGACGCTGGGAATTGTAACTGACATGGCTGTCAACACTGTAGCCAGGACTCGGCCATCAGCCATCAGTCCTCGTCCTGCCCCGTCCCCGTCCCCGGCTCCACTTTGCAGTCATTTCAACTTTGGAATTTCAATAAGAGCCGCCTCAGACTCGGCGAGTGGAAATGCCGCAGGTGGTAGGCGCACAGAGTCCTGGCGAAGGAGGACATGGGTTCGAGGATCCTGGATTCGGGACGGGCATTTTGGGCTGTTCTGAAACCAACCAAGTTGCCGGCTGATGCAAAAGAAAGGCAAATAAACCGAAAGTAAATACATAAATTAAAAGTGTAAAGGCGAAAAATGTTTAATTCGCGAATGGCTGCCACGGGACGTACTCAAATGGAATGGATTGGCTGCAGGAGTGAATGGGGGAAGGTGAGTCCTGTAATAGGACAATGTTTTTTTGGAATGGAGGATGTGCGTTGCTGAACATTTACTGAAATATATTTTACATCTTAAAGGTACGGGAATTAAATTGTTTTTTTGCTGTTAAATGGTTTAAAAAACTCCTATTTATAAGATATTTTATGGTAATAAATTGATTTTAGGAAAGGATATAAATATGAAGAAAAATAATGTATAAGATAATAATAATATTGATTCTAGAATGATTTAGAAACAGTATATAATTTAAACATATCATCTGTATCCTGAAGATATTTAATTGTTTTAAATCTACTGAAAAACGATATCTGTGGTATAATGAAAATATTACACATTATAGCTAAATGGCATATACTTTAGATACAAGTTTCGATATTATATAACCTTAAAGATACCACTTGAAACTTCATTCTCCATTTTTAGTCTCCTCTTCATATTGGCTCGCTTTTTGAAACCATGCCCAAAATGGTTATTTTTCCACCCATAAAGAGTCCTTCTTCATACATTGTAAATACATATATATATATAGAGAGATATATATAGTCCATATTTTTCGTGAACTCCTACTCCCATTCTCTGTGTTATTTCCCATTTCGGTTTATTTTTCAAACAATTTTTTATCATCAGCTGTCAATAGTTCAGGCAGCTGACCCACCAAAGGGAGCAGCCGAAACGAAGGACAGATACATATATTTGGAGCGGAACGGGATGGGGGGGAAATCATTACATAAAAAATGTTTTATGCTTCGCTATTGCAACTTTGACCAGGGCGGCACGGTGGCGTATGAGCGATGCAACAACTGCGGCGAGAAAAGGGGTGAAATTATTTGTGTTTTGTTGGGTAACATGCTCCCATCCTGGCTTTGGAAGTAGTCCAAACTTGGCCACGTATAAACACATTTTTGATGCTGACTTGCTTTTATTGTTTGTGTGTGTTTTCATTGCTAGCAATAAAAACTACAGAAAAAATCGCCCAAATAGAAATAAACGCATTTTTATATATATGTATGTATCTGTGTATTTATGAACCCCATAAATATGTCAAATAAATTACAAAACAGTCAAAATATTGTGCCATGTTTGTTATGCCATTATGTATATGTGTTTATATAAGTCAGGGTATATAGTATATTTTCGAGTAAGGGAACATATTTTGGATCCTTCCTTAGGCATAAATTTGTTTCTAAAGCCAAGGGGAAAATATGATTTAAGTTATATACTATACAATTATGCCTTAAGCCTGTTGGAAGTATACATATTTGGTTTGTCATTGCCTTTGTTATTTTTAAACTTATTAAGTGAAAGAAGCACACTTAAAAGTGAATTCTTTATCATCTTAGAGAAGCTCAAAAAATTAGACAAAAATTTGATTTTTCTAAGATTTCTTAAACTAAATAAAGTAAAGAAAGCCCATTTGGTTAAGAGAATACACTTATTCTACAAGCTGGAAGTTCTAATTTTGCTTAATTTAATATAATATTAATTATTCTCACAGAACCTTTCATCTTATATAGTTAAAATCCCAACTTAATATGTGTTTATAATCAAGTCTCTGATTAAAACTAATAAATTTTCCCTAAAAACTTCTGGTATCCTTAATTTCCATTCATATAAATTGTTTAATTCAACCAATATTTGAATATTTTGATAGAGCCATTTTAAAAGAAGACCAAAAACAAAA